TAATCCCTGAAACCTGAAAAAGAATGTCATCTTGCATGATGATGTGACTAAGATTTAAGAGATGGGGAGTGTTATGAGCTCAATTTGTGCCTCACAAATTCACTTTCCCCCCTCCCCCTCAGGGATTGAACACAGGGCCACTCAACCACTAAGCCACTTCTCCAGCCCTTTTTGGAATTTTATTTAGAGACAGGGTCTCACTGAGTTGCTTAGGGCTTGCTAAGTTACTGAGGCAGGCTTTGAATTCGTGATCCTCCTGCCTCAGCCTTCAGAGCCACTGGGATTACAGGCATGCATCATCACGTGTCTGGCCCAAATTCACATCTTAAAGCCCTAACTCCTGGAACCTCAGAATGTGATGATATTTGGATATAGGAACTTTAAAGAAGTGACTAAGTTAAAATCCAATCCAATCTCACTGGTGTCCTCATAAGAGGAAATCTGGACACACAAAGAGGCACCAGGGATAGAGCACTGGCCTAGCAGAGGTGAGGCCTAGCAGAGGTGAGGCCCCGGGTTCCATTCCGAGCAGTGGGAGAAAAAAAAAAAAAGATGGAGGGAAAGGCCATGAGCCAAGGAACACAGGTGGACTCTCCAAGCTGGAAAAGAGCAAGGAAACAGATGCTCCCTGTTGCTTCTAAGAGAAATGCATCCCTGCAACCACATTGATTTTAGCTCCAGAAGCCTCATTTTGGATTTTTGGCCCCTAGAACTGTAAGAAAATAAATTTATGCTTTTGTTTTTTCTGATGATGGAGATTGAACTCCAGACCTCACACATGCTAAGTGTCCACTCATGCACTTGAGCTACACCCCCAATCCCAATTTATGCTGTTTAAAGCCACTATCATGATGTGTAACAGCAGCTACAGGAAATGAACACTTTCCCATTCCAACTGCTGCAAGCTCAGTATTGTTTTCTAAAAAGTTTGCTTAAAAGGCAGTCTATGTCCCAAGCCCATCTGGCCTCCATCCCATTCCTTCACAGCTGCGTTTCTGGAAGCTTTCTGGGTCCCACTGGCCGTCAGTCCTCTTTACAGGTACATACCACACAAGAACCATTAATCTGTGCTCGACTGCATTTTGGGGGCCCAGGCCCAGCCCCTACAGTACTAATGGCAATCATCCACACATGTAACTAGGTGAGAGGGGTTTCCTGAGCCATGGGAGGTGTGCCTCGGCACACATTGGGTCCATTTTCTGTACACTTATGGGGCCACACCTCACTGTGGCCAGCTCAGGATATGGGAGGGACAAGACTTCTAGGGCAAAACTGGAACAACAGATCACCTTCCAGGGGTGTAACAGACTCAGTCTGTCTAATAAACATTTACTGATTCTTTGTCCCTAACCAACAATCTGCCCAGTGTCACAGAGTCCCCCCTCTTCCCTTTCCCCTCTCCTTCAGCATCTGAAGGAGGGCAGGTGGGCTGGAAGCTACTTTTTGAGGACCTGGTTTTATATTTTCCTGTGCTGTAGTTTCTTCTGCCTGGTTAGAGTGAGGTTATATTAGGCAATGCCATTTCTCACCATCTTGGCAGGGACCTTGGTGTTTCTTATTCATGGGAGTTGAAATATTAAAGGAGAGATAAAATGAGAACAGATAAAGGTCACAGAGGCAGAAAAGGATTCTGGGGACTGTAAGCCTGTGGGTAACCCAGGCAAGAGATCCTTCTGGTGAGATGTGGGTTTTGCATCAGGCAGGATTAGGTGACATTTCTGTTTGTTTCATATTAAGTTAGGCAGTTTGGCTTGGAGAACAGGATCCTATGGTAGGACAAAAGACTTTTTTTTTTTTTTGGAGGGGGGGATGATAGTGTGACACCCCTAGCCTAAAGAGTAACTTAAGAATCAACTTGGAGCCAGGCGTGGTGGCTCACACCTGTAATCCCAGCTTCTCAGGAGGCCGAGGCAAGAGGATCATGAGTTCAAAGCCAGATTAAGCAAAAGCAAGGTGCTAAGCAATTCAGTGACACCCTGTCTCTAAATAAAATACAAATTAGTGCTGGGGATGTGGCTCAGTAGTTAAGTGCCCCTGGGTTCAATCCCTGGTACCAAAAAAAGTAAAAGAAAGAAAAGAATCAACTTGGTAAAGTGGGAGAGTACATGTTTAACATGCACGAAGACCTGGGTTCAGTCCTCAGCATCACATGCTCACACACAAGAGAATCAACTTGCCCAATGCCCTAATTTTAGAGGTATAGAAACCAAAGCTCTGAAAACTAAATGACTTGCTCAAGGTCACATGGTCTTTTGGAGGAAACATCAGGATTAGCTCAGGTCTTCTAAATCCCCACTAGGCCTCTTCACTGCCCCAAGCTCCTGGATCCCCTGGGAATGGGAGTGAGAGGAACAGAAAGATATCAGGGCATCAAGGAAGGAGTGGAAAGCTAGGAGCAAGTACCCTACATTTCTCATTTAAAAATCCATTTTATTCAACTTGGAAAATGAGTACAAATCCCTGGGTATTTTTCTTGGTGGGAGTTGGGGAACAGATGAGAAGAAGAGGATTGAGGCAAGGTACGTGCATCACAGTGGCTGCCTCAGGTCCCTGCCTGGGGAGGTGATGGTAGGTTGGGGTTGAGCAGGAAGCTCAGGTCCGCAGGAACACCATGGTGAGGAGGCCTGGAGGTAGAAAAAGAAAGAGAAAGTCCCAGGAGCAGTCCTCCCCCGGCCCCTGCTCCCCTTTCTCTACAAGTGGGCCTAGGTCACACTACTACTCGCTCACCTAAGACGTAGGCTGCCACCAATTTTTGTCCCAGGGAGACGTGCAGGACTTGTGGCAGTTGGCTGCCAAGTTCATCCTGGAGTGGGAGCAGCAGGAAGGCCACAGAGACAATGCCGGTCATCAAAAAGAGGAGGAAGGAGCTGGTGGCCAGTTGCTGGCGGGGGTCTGGGAAACAAGGCTCATCAGCATTGACAGTCCCCTAACCCTCTCAACTTTGGTCCCTTTCTTCCCTCTGCCTCATTACTGTCTTCCATACACAGTGCAGACCAGCATAATTGCTCCATAGAGGTCTGTTGTTGAACTGAACTGAGCTGACACCTGATAGGAAGTACGATAGAGCTAAGGAAGAACTCTTTACTCTAAGTAGAAACCAGAAACCAGAGAAATTGTAGTCTTTCTTCCCCTTACTTAATACAAAATCTCAATTAGAAATGTTTTCATCAAAAGGCAAAAAACACTGGACCAGGAAACTTCTTCAAATTCAATTTAGCTCATTTCCAGAGTAATGCTAGTTCCTCCCTCCAGACAGAATTCAAGAATCCCCGTCTTCCAACTCACTCTCCTGCAAGTGTCTTGTCATGGGTGGTGCTGTCCAGGCAGGAGGCTCTGGGTTGGGTGTTGGCTGGGGCGGTCCCTGAAGTTCAAGGGGATAGGCTGGGGCCCGCAGAACTGAGGTGATGTCTTTGCGTCCCACCACTCTGCCCTCGGTCCCTTCCTCAGAGAGCTCAATGCGGAAGCGGTCCTGGATGTCATAGTGGCTGGGAATGGGGGCCACATGGCGAATCACACTAGCTCCAAGACAGGAGAAAAGCCCATTGGGAGGAAGTGAATGAGAAATAGAAATTTAAGTAAATCCAGGCCTCCTCCCCAGAAGCCTTTCCTTTAGGGACACAGAAGGTGGGGAAAACAATTTCAGGAAAACACGGTCTCAGACCTAAGATAATAAGTGGCAGCGACCCCTGGCTTCCATCAGCCTCCCCAACTCCCAACTCACATGTCAATGCAGGACTGAGGCTTCACATATCCTTCTGCATCAAAAACCGTGTATTTGGCAGGTGCTGTACACAGGACTGTGGGATAAAGGCATACAAAGAGACCCTAAACAAGTCTGGCCCCGGTGTAACCAGCGTTGCCTCTGCCTTCTATTCCAGCCAGGAATGGTTAGGATTCTTCTAGTCGCCAAGGGTGGGCATCTGGTCCTGCTCATCTGACTCTTCCAGCCCAACAACGAGCCCATTGAAGGACAACCCCTGAATGTCCTTCCACCAGCCCCCAGATCCCAAGCACGAGATGCCCATTCCTTCACCTCGGAAGCGAAGCGCGGTTCCTGTGGGGTTATAGAGGGTCAGCAGCTGCCGGGGTCCACTCCTTTGGTCCGCCCTGAATACTAGATCCGGGGGAAAGACGAGGACCGGGACAACGGATCCTGAGGGAGGAGGGGCGCCCCGGGACCCCCGCCCAGGGGCCCCCGGACCCACCAGCTCCTGGTCCTGGGGCGCCCCACGGCGCATGCAGGCTCTTGGCGGTCGGACATCCGAGGGCAGAGCTCAGGGGGCAGGGCCTGGAGTCTGTGGCTGGGGGCGCGAGGGACGAAAGAGAACAAGACTAGATCGTTGCGTAAGGCCTGGACTGATTCCGTTGCCACCTCGAAACCCCGCTGGATGCGGCTCTCGCAGACCCAGGCCCAGGCCCCCCAAACCTCCCCTTCACAGTTCTGGTCCCGCCCCCAAGCTTCACCTCGACGGCCACGCCTACCTCTCCAAACCCTACCCCTCGTGGCTCCCAATCCGGTCCTTTTCTTCGGGCCCGGGTAGCGATCTCCTTATCCCTGCCCCGCTTCAGACCCCGCCTCTTCCGGGCTCTTCAGGGCTCCCGCCCAGTCTCTCTGGCCAGACTCCGCCCGCCACAGCGGCCACATCTGGAACTACCCTTTACGCCCCCGGCTCTCCGGGACACCTGTATCTACGATCCCTCCCCGACCTCGGCAGTGCCGGTCGAGCTTCCGTCTCCGAACGGCCGCTCGTGCTATGATGATCACCTTGTGGTCAAAGCACCTGCCAATCAGATGTGGCCAGACTGAGGGCGCCATCTTCCGGAGAGTCCCTTTTCACACTTCCGCCGTACGACCTCTCTCATTGGTCATGACAGCCTCATTTCCGCCTAACTTTACCCTGATTGGTGCCCTTTTTTTTTTTTTTTAAAGAGAGAGAGAGAGAGAGAGAGAGAGAGAGAGAGAGAGAGAGAGAGAGAGGAGAGAGAGAGAGAGAGAGAGAGAGAGAGAGAGAATTTTAATATTTATTTTTTAGTTTTCGGCAGACACAACATCTTTGTTTGCTGATTGGTGCCCTTAAAGTCCTCACAGACACCTGGCGCAGGTGATTGGATTAAGCCTAGTGACGTAAGACTTTTAGGGCATCTCTTATTCTCACTGGAGTCCCGAAGTAACTCTGGGAGGCGGAGCGGGGCTGAGTGCAGGGCTTTGTTCCTCCCTCCACCCTCAGACTGCCCAAATCGCTAGATCGCTTCCCTCCTGCTCGGGCCTGGGAAATCACTTATATTTGCTCAGGGAATTAAGACTCGCCGAATCCTGCCGCTTACGTCATCCCATCGAATCTTTAATTTCTTTTTGCAGACGAGGACACAGCCTTGACAAGGTAAAGAATTTCATCGTATGCCACTCATTATTAGTGGAGGAAAAACTTAAGTTGATCTTTTGGGAAAGCCTTCCTGGAGCACCTTACAACAAGTAGAACCCCGCCCCTCTTTGTCCCCTTATACTTTTGCTTCCTTTTATAAACACATATAGTGCCACTTGAAATATTTTTCTCTCCTCCAATAGGACGTTCTTATTATAGAAAGGACTTTTGTTTTCTCCTGTATCTTTAAACAGTCCTTGGCATTTGGAATTAATAAATGAATAAAAGACTAGGATGAACTTTGATCAGAAGTCTGATTAAGATATTTATGGAAGAGAATTCTGGAAAAAGGAAACAACAAAGCCTGAAGAAGTGTATTAGAAGTAGGCAATGAAAGCCCGGCTCTGTGGCGCAAGCCTGTAGTCTCATTGACTCCAGAGGCTGAGACAGGAGAATTGCAAGTTAAAGGCCGACCTCAGCAACTTAGTGAGACCCTGTCTAAAAATAAAAAGGCTGGGAGATGGAGCCCAATGGTAAAGCTCCCCTGAGTTAAATCCCCAGTACTGAAAAAAATAGGCAAGGAACCCTAAGGCATAAGGGAGACAGAAGAGATGAGATAAGGTGGAAGAGGATGTAGAATACCAAGAAACTTAGAACTTAGGATAGTAATTTGCATTTTATCCTGAGGACCATCAAGAGAGTTTTGAGCAAAGGAGTGATAGGACTTATTCCCCATACCCCCTCACCCCCACATTGCGGTTGGACCCAGGGTGCTCTACCTCTGAGCTACATGCTCAGGCTTTTTTTCCTCCTAGCCCTTTTTATTTTTGTGGTGCTGGAGATCAAACTCAGGGACATCTTACCACTAAAGTACATCCTCAGCCTTTTTATTTTGAGATAGGATTTCACTGAGTTGCCCAGGCTGGTCTCTAATTTGTGATCCTCTGGCTTCAGCCTCCCCTATAGCTGGGACTAAAGGCTTGTGCCACCCAAGTATAGTTCTTTCTTTCTTTCTTTCTTTTTTTTTTTTTTTGTGTGTGTGTGTGTGCTGGGGATTTTACCCCAAGGAAGCAAGCATCTACCATTGAGCCACATCCCCAGCAAGCCTGGCTCATTCCTAAAAGATTATACAGTAAAAACTTGTGGAATGAATGAAGGAAATCTCCAAGGTGAGCCCCTAAGTGATAGAAAGGGACATACAACACCTTCCTCAGTTGAGAAACATTTATTTGGATAAGAAAGACAGCACATGAACCTGGGGCTGCAGCTGGCCTGGCTCTCAGGCCTGAGACTCTGCAGCTTGCCTAGGTTGGGAAGAACACTTTCTCTTGCTGAGGTTGGTGAGGATCTGGTCCTGGCTGGGCCGGTGTTGAACCACGAAGCTGTCTGAAGGAATGATGGGACCTCTATTCTCATCCACTTGGCCCATAATCAGATAATTGAGTCCTGGGGGAGGAAGGGTGGGATTGAGAACTCACATTGCTGGTACCTTGTCAGGGTGTATTCTCAAGATTCCATGCCTATCATTTTAATGTGGCTAAGTGCCCCCTTTCCCATTCCCATCTCTGTTACCTTTCTTCATGAGGGGGCATGGCCTGCAGGGCACGTAAAACTTCAGGGGGGTGTCAGTGGGCGGAGAGGGCAGGTCTAGTCCTCCAGTTTTATAAGCACCAATGAGACTGACAGTGACAGTGAGACCCTCTCCTGGACCCCGAACCATGGACTTCACTGTTGCAGTCACCACTGTGGGAGAATGGGAATGAGAGATGAGAAGACAGGAGGGCAGGGCAGGTGTGAAACCAGAAGGGGACTATAGTTAGAGGAGCTGGAAGGGCAGGGGAGGGAGATGGGTCTTCTTACCAAGATCACTGGCACAGAAGTTGCTCTGCAGTGTGCCTGTCCTCCGACATTGCTTTGGGCAAGGGACACTGGGTGTATCTAGGAGGGAGGGGTACTGTTTGTGGAAGGTGACCTACCCAGCAAGTATGGAAGGACCACTTTTCCCCATAACAGTACCATAGGTTTGAACCCCTTCAGAGCTCTCTTCACCTTTGGTTCCCAGCACCCAATACCAGCCATTGGCAGGAAGGAGGCTCTAGTGAGTGCTGAATAAACAAGCCAAGGAAGAACTACCCCCTCCCCCAGCTGGTAATGGGGATTGACCCCAGGGGTGCTACATCCCTAGCCCTTTTTATTTTTGAGACAGGGTCTCACTAAATTGTCAAGGCTGGCCTGGAACTTGGCATTCCTCCTGCCTCATCCTCCTTAGTCGCTGGGATTAGTCAGGATTACAGACGTATGTCATAGGTTGGCTAAGGAAGAACTTTTTGAAACAGTTCTGTTCAGTTCACATCCTCTTTTTCACCCTTCCTAGACTCACCAGGGCCCAGTGGAGTTGCCTGGGCTTCAGGTGAGACCTCTGACTTCTCCCCAGGCTGGAGTTTGGGCTGGGTGGGTGGCTTGACTTTGGGCCTAGCTCCAGGTTTTGGGCCAGGGCCTAGAGATGGGGGACCTGGCCTGGTGTCCTTCCCTGGGTTTGGGGCTGGCCCCTTTTCAGCAGTGCCTCGTGGCACGGTCCTGTAGGAGGCTGAGAAGCCGTCGGCGGTGACACTGAGATCTGAGACGAACTGGACCAGAAGCTCATTACCTTCTGAGGAGATGGGGCTGCGGGCAGTGGGCCATCAGGAGGTATTAGAGCAGGCTGTGCACCCCTCTCCCTCCCAGTCTGGTGGCCTTTTGATCTCTGCTCCTCAGTTGTCTGCATTAGAATCCCCATTCATCTCCTAGTCTCTGGATCCACAGACCCCAGACCAAGCCTCCTCCTTGTCCACTACTTGTTCTTTGCTCTGGTTTGGAGCCCAGGAGCTCAGATCCCACCCCTCAGCCGAGTTCCATCCCTCAAAGCCCTGGCCAAGCCGAGCTGACTCACCCAGAGAAGCGACTCTCACCCAGTGAAGTGAAGATGCCCTGGCCACTGCCCACCCAGGTTCTGCCCCCTCACCCAGGGGATGTGTCCCCGCAGAACTTTCCCAGCCTCTTGGCATCATCGTTCACTGCTCCGTTGAACACGCTGACCGAGTCATAGCGGCAGTAGGTGTCTGGCTCCAGGTCAAACTTCCCGAAGGTCAGCGTGATCACCTGGTGGAGGTGAAGGCTGCGCTGGGGGACCGCTCCTGGTGCCTCCCAGGTGCTTACTGGAGTCTTGTCCACTCCTTGCAGCCCTCTGAGCCCCTCCTTAAGGCATTCTCACTGCTGCTCCTGCTCGGAAGGTCATGCACTCCACTCCCACGGTACCCTGCAGGGGTGTCCATCACCTGCTCACTAGGGAGAGACTCCCACCTGTGTAGCACTACACAGTTTGCTAGCACCTTGTACCTAGCTCTCCTAAGACTTGTCACAGTTTGTAGTTTTAGCTTTTGTTTGAATGCAAGCAGGGTCTGGGTCTGGTTTTGATCCCCAGTTTGGGGCTCCAGACACAGAATGTTAAATAAATCTTCACTGGCTGCATGCTGGAGGATGCTGCCTGGGTCCCCTTGGGCAGCTGGGACTAGGATGCAGTACCTGGTCTGGGGGTGCGATGATGTGCCAGGAACAGCTGATGCCCGGCGGGTAATCAGACTCTGGCCAGTTGGGCGTGGTCAAGGTTCCCTGTTCCTTCTCCATCCGCCCCCCACAAAACTGGTGCTCTGGGGAGGGGAGAGAGGGGCGGGGGTGGGGGGCGGTGGAAACCCTCAGTCAGCTCCAGGAGAGCTCTAGGCTGGGAGCCGGCAGGCAGCTCGGATGTCTGGGTCTCAGGATGAGTGGACAAGAATCAGGGCAGGAGAGAGGGGGGAGGTTAGCAGAGAGGGGCTGGGAGGAGCAGGACAGTCTTGGGCCACAGGGCCCTGGAGGCGGGCAGGAACTGGCTGGATGTGCTCCCTTCTTACCCCTCCCCTACCCACTGCCACACCGTGCCTCTTCCCCTGGGAGATCCCATCTCCCCGACCCGGCAGAAGAGTCCCCTCTGCAGGCTGGAGAGCCCCCACGCTTTGAGGGTGCCCTCTACTTGGCCTCTTTTCGGAGGTCCCTGCCTGAAACATTTCCAGGGAATTTCTGCTGCCAGGAGCGGGTGATGGGACCGCAATCGGGAGCTCAGGGCTGGGTGTAGGGAACTCCAGGTCGGGGGAACCTAGTCCCCCAGCCCTGGGATGCCCCCTCGCGCCCGTCTGAAGGAGCCCGATTGCGGACGGGGGCGGGCAGTTACTCACCGTCCCAGTAACCCCAGGCCGCCCATTCCACCCGCGGGTCCATGACCCATTTCCGCCTCGAGCCTGGGGGGGGGCCTGGAAGAGGGGTGGGTGGGAGCGGGAGGGGGAGAGAAGACCGGGAGGAGGGACTGAAGGGGCGGTTAGTGAGGAGAAAGGGCAAGAGAGTACTGGTGGCCCTAGGCTCAAGGCGCAGGGTCCTCTGGGGGTTGAGGTTAGGGGGGGGGCGGGACCTGCACGGGGCGGGGCCAGGAGGGGGAGGTGGAGGTGAGGGAGGCTCACCGGTGCGGGAGGTGGCCCGCCCGCTGTACCAGAGCAGGAAGCCTCGTCCTCCTGTGCCCTCGTCGGCTGTCATCCTCAGGGTGACCTGGTTGCCGGGGGCGACTAGGGGCGCTGGCCTGAAGGTCCCGCAGAAGCGTCCAAGCCGCTGGCCAGAGGTTCCAGATCCAGCAAAGACCTCCAGAGCATCATAACGGCAGGAGGGGTGCAGCTCCAGGTCGAAGACTCGGAAGGAGAGAGACACAGTCTGGCCCTCAGGGACCTGATGGTGGCGCCGGAGGCAGGGGACCCACAGAGTCAGACTACACACAACCCTGACAGAGGGCATCTCCCCTTCCACAAGCATTTTCTACTGAAATGGCCTGGACTAGAAGGGACCTCATTCAGGTGCAGAGCAAAGGGTCTGGGCTCTGCAACAGCCTATGGTCTCAGGAGATATTAGCATAGACAGAAAGGAAGTTGGGAGTAGGGAATCAGGATTCGAGATATGAATTAAGAATTAAAGTGCAGGGGCTGGGGCTGTAGCTCAGAGGCAGAGCGCTTGTCTAGCACATGTGAGGAACTGGGTTTGATCCTTAGCACCACATTAAAAAAAAAAAAAGGCGGCATGTTGTTTACAACTAAAATAAATAAAGTGCAGGGCACTTGTTATTGTAAGGACTAGATGCCCTCAGTGAGCAGAGGGAGAGCAGCGCTTGGAAGGTGGTGCTTGGCAGGGGGCACTTCTTGTCTGGGAGACTTTGATAAGGGGACAGTGATCAGAAGGGCTTTCTCACCGTTATTGTCCAGATGCACTCCTTATTGGGGGGGTAGAGGTTGGGAAAGCCCTCACTTGCCACGTAACCCGATTCCCCAGTCACATCCCCTCCGCATAGGAACACAGGTCTGGAGAACAGAAGAGGTGTCAGGAGTGGGAAGTAGTTGAGATAGGGATGGGTTAATAATGGGAGGATGGGTGATGAGGGAGGCCAAAGGGACCCTGAGGAAGCCTCAGCAGGCTGACTTGCTACTCCTGATTCCTGCAGACATGAGAAAAAAGTGGGAACAGCAACTGGACCATCCCTCCAACCCCCCAGAGGCCCCACCCCCACCCCAACAGGAATTCCCGGAATCCTTCTCAGCCTCCCTTCCTCACTACTCTCCCCCCTTACCCTGCCTGGCAATCCGGGACAGGAGCCGCCTAACTACTTCCAGATGTGGACAAGCCACGAGGCTGTAGGGGGGAGGGGGCGGAGAGATGCCGGGAGTGGCAGCAGGCAAAGGCCCTCCAGTTGGACCTGGAGACCAGGCTCCCTGGGCTCCCACCTTTGCCCTGCTCCTGTTCTGCTGGCTAGAAGTATCTGACACCCAAGTCTCTGCTCATTACCCCCTCAACCCCCCACAATCTGATTCCTTTCTGGAATCCAGATGTCAGCTACCAGGCAAGTTGGGGTCTTGGCTCTGACTTCAAGCTTCATGGGGGGCCATGGGTCTGGCTGGTGGGGGAGACTTAGGAGGGTGAAAGAGTGGAAGACTGCTCCTGCAGCAGAGGGGGAGGACTTAGGCATAGGGTGGTGGTGGTGGGAAACCTGGGGGGCTGTTAGCAGAAGAACCCAAGAGACTCACAGGCATTACCGTGCCTCCGCACCCCCAGAGGAGTCAGGGTTTTGAAGCTCAATCCAGCCATCTGGAAGATGCCGAGACCTACCTGGTGTAGTTGGGGGTCTGGCCCTGGGCAAGAGGCAAGAAGGGCAGCAGGGCCCAGGCCGTAAGTAGGGGCCCCAGAAGGGAGGCTGGGGCAGCAGACAGCATGGTGGGGGGAGTGTGCTGGGGTCCTCAGCCGGAGGCGGCAGCTGAGTTCAGCAGCAGCAGAAGCAGCAACAGCAACAGCAGCAGCGGCGGCAGCAGGATAATCAGTGCCAGATGAGGCAGCACCGGGTGTGTGGGCGTGGGGACCGGCCAGCAGGGCGGGCGGCAGGAAGGCGGGACAGGGAGACAGCTGGGACAGTGGTGAGTCCTGGGGCCTCTCTAGGTCTAGTACACATCATGACCTAAGGAGGAGGTGGAGCAATGAGGGGCAGAGGGAGTATCATCCATGCATGAAGTAATGTCATCTGGAACCCCACTCTGTCCCATGTCAGAGTACCTTGAAAGCACAGCTCTGGACCTTCCTGGGGCTCTGTTCCATACTTCCCCACCACACACCCTGCTTCCTCAGAACCCAGATGAGTTCTTCCTGTGTCTTCCACCCAAATAATTTCTCTAGCCTCTTGGCCACCCTCAGCCCTAGCCAGCTTTCTACCACACATTTCTATGGCCTTCCCTCTATCTCTGGACCTGACAGGCCAGGGAGGAAGAATTCTGCACACCCATTCTCTCTTCAAATAACTGAGGTACAAGAGAGTTGGAGGCATGGAGTGTCCCTCTTACTAAGGAAAGAAGGGAAAGAGTAGTAAATAAGGCAAAGAAAGGATACAGGAGACCAGGCCTGGGAATAAAACAGGAGCGAGAGAGGAGGGGACTGACTTCCCTGGAACTAGGGCCATGGGGGTAAGGGAGCTTTACAGAGTCAGAAGTGGCCCCTAAGGATGGAGAAAACACCTGTAGAGAGGATCCAAACTGGGGAACTAAGCAGTGTATGTTGACTGAGTTGTTCCTGAAAGTGGGGCCAGGGCTTCAAAGTCAAAAAGACCTGGTGAAGTCTTGAGAGTAAAGCCAAGGACTCAGGTGCCATCAGCTCTTAAGCAACAGAGCTTGAGCTGCTCCTGCCCTCCTTTATCCACTGGGTGGGCACTGTCCCCATCCTTTGCCCAATCCCCCCCAGGCTCCAGGGTTCCAAACGGGGCCTCGCTTCAGCCTTTTATTCTATTTGTCCATCAAATCTCTTGTCCATGATAGACTGGAGGCCCCTCCTGGGCAGCCCCCTGAACATTTTACAAAAGAGTTCCCTGCCCTACCCCCTGTGACCCATCCCCACATGCACACAGTGTTCACTGCCACCACTCCATCTCTCCTTAGCCCCTGGCCCAGGGCCAGACTCCCTCCAGGGGTGAGGTTGGGAGAGGGGAATCAGCTCTCAGGGGTTGATGGGCCTGGGCCAACACCACCAGCAGCCCTCTGCAGCATGTCTAGGGCCTCCCAGAAGAAATCCTTCTGTGCGGCCATCAAGGGCATCCAGCCCACGATCTCCTTCATCTTCTCCATGCGGTCCTGTAAGGTGGGGCAACTGTGGATCTGGCTGAGGTACTCCTCACAGGCCCGGGCTGCCCCCCCAGGGTCCTGGGGGCCTCCAGTCCCCAGGCTGGGTTCAGGGCTCCCCACCACCCTGCTGGCTGGCAGGTCCCTATAGGCAGGGTAGTGCTCGATGTCATGGCTAGACAGCATGTAGAGGCACTCTCTGGTGGAGCAGAGGGAACAGGCACACAAAGGAACCTAGGAGGAAAGAAGGGGTGTGGGTTATGCTCCTGGCTCCTAGAAAGCTGGGCTAATCCACTGTTATATTCACCCTCTCAGACCAGCCCTGAGCCAGCAAGTGAACTACAGCTGGCTCTCTGCCAAGGTATGCAAGGTTGGACAAGGCCAGCAGGGTCTGCTAAGGGAGAGAGCCATGGAGTGGCTGGAAAGGGATTTGGAAGGTGCTTAGGAAATGGGACCACTGGGTCCCTGTAGGGGTCCCAGCTATAGTCCTATGGGCTACCTGGCTCTATTACTCTTGCCCCCGCTGGTTGCCCGTTGCCTCACTCTGCTCTGACCTTGACGTGGAGCTTGACGAAGGAGGCACTCCCCTTAGGCCAGCCGGGGAGGCGGCCTCCAGCCCCACAGCCGCAGCCCAGAAGTTCCTTGCTGAAGTCCGAGCCCTGGCTCAGCACCAGGGAATGGTTGAGGCCGCACCACAGGGCAATGGGGCATTGCAGATAATGTACCTAAAGACACATGGCCAGGGTCCTTGATGGGGGAACCTCAGGGGGCTGGGGAGCCCAGATCAGAGAAGGTTAACTAGGAGGCTCAGGGCTGAATGTAATTAAGGGAGGGAAGAAATGGGAGTCTGCTCTCCTCCTCCAAGAGGTCTGCACTGCCAAATACAGAATAGCAGTAATCTGTCCCTTCTTGGTACCCCTGTATGCCTCCAACAATCTAACCATATGGGGTGTCTGGTACTTCTGTGGGTACCTCATCTTTGCTCCCTAGAAAAAAAGCTCTTGTCTGAGGCTGGGGCCTGCTATCTACTCTACTCCCTCATTTTCAGGCCGCAGGTCTGTGCCATCCAGCCTTGTAGCCTCAGCGGGGACTAGCCTTCCTCTTTCAGAGTTGAAGCCTCCTCTCCCTCCCTGGGCAATTCCATATTAGCCCCAAGGAGACATTCCTTCTACTATCCCTCCTGGTCTCTAGCATTTTCAATTTGTCCCATCATTATCTTCAAAAGTGGCCACACTATTTTGAAAAAAGACCACCTGATTTCTGTTGCATCGCCCACCCCCCCACCCCCCTCCCCCGATGCAGAATTGGTTATGTGACCAGTCTGAGGTTGACCGTTCCTGTTCCTTACCATGGCTAGTCTTTCCTGAACCTCCTTTTGATCTGGCTTCTCTCCCTATGACTCTACTGACATGTTATTTCCAAAGGCATTTAGTCTCCCAGCTGCTAAATCCCAGGACTTCTCATATGTTCATTCTCATGAGACTATTAGAACTTTAATTCCAAAGACACGAGTAAGTAATTTAGGGTCACTAAAGGAAAAATGACAATGTATTGGCAAGCAAAAATTTTAAAATCACTGGAAATCCCACTACCAACTATTAGCATCTGCTGAATATTCTTCATTTCTGACTGAACAAATACACATAAATTACATATTCTTGAACAAAAATGGGATTGTACTATATAATCAGTATCATAAAGATTTTATTTTAAATGTTTTGTGGTACTGGGGATTGAAACCAGGGCCTACACATGCTAGATAAGTGCTTTACCACTGAGCTATATCTCCAGCCCTTTCTATTTTGAGACAGGTTCTCACTGAATTTCCCCTGCTATCCTTGAGCTTGTTATCCTCCTGCCTCAGCCTCATGGTATTACAGCTATGTGTCACCATACCCAACTCTTCAGGGTTTTTTTTCTACCTAAAAATATGGAACAACCATTTTTTCATGTCAGTAAATGTGTTCCTATATTGCCGCACTGTAACCATTACCACCCTTCTCATGTACTTCATTTGAAAAGAAACTTTCTGCTCTCATGACTTTTGGGGTGTGGCATTAGAGGGGCATGCCTCCTGTTCTTTTCTTCATTTCCCTGCCTATTATTGTGATTACTGCCCACATTTGCTTTTGTCATTTCAACCTTGTTTCAATGTGGAATCTTATAGCCAGCTAGATATTTCCAACTTAATGCTTTCCTCTCACAGAAAAAAGGCTAAATTCACACTCTTTCCTCAAAGCAGTAATCAGTTTCAAGGGCCTGTTTATTTCTTCTAAAACATCTCCTATACCCACCCATTCCTTTTCATTTTCACTGCCACATACCAGCCAGCCCAGGTCCTTGTCTCAGGCACTGCTTTCCCTTACCAGCTTCCTGGGAGGCTGCCTGCTCTGGAGCTCCATTGCACTATGGTCAGCTGACCAGTTTGGCCACCCCTTGGTGGCCACCTTCTGTTCCAGAACCTGCGATGATTCTTTCCCATGTCTACCAGGCTTGCAACTATACTGATACCACACCTCATATTCTCACTGATTTCCAACATACCCTCCCTTTAATCAGGCCAGTCTTTCAATGGTCTCAGGTATGTGCAAGCTTCAACCCTGTCCCCATCCTCAGAACAAAAACTACCTTTCCCTATCCCCACACCTGAACCCTATCTAATCCACAAGACTCTGCTGGCATTTCACTTCTTCTAGTTACCCTAGCCCACCCAGGTCCCCCAGCCCACACCTTCACCAAATTCCCATTACAGTGACAGCATGCACCACACAGAATGGACATCCTAGTACCAACCCTGGTTAAGCTTACACAACAATATCACAGGCATTATCCTAATGATTGGCTTAACTTTCCTGGGGAGGAGAAAGTGAATTCTGTGGAAATTGGAGAAGTGGATAGATGCAGGGGTTAGGGAATTGGAGGGAAGAGGATTGGGATGAAAATTACTGGGGAACGATCTTACCTGTGTGGGTTCCCCTCGATCCATTTTGTCCCCTGTTCCCAATTGCCCATATCTGTTATTTCCCTGCATAAAGATTCGGCCAAATTCATCCACCAGGCCAAGGTGATTGTAGCCAAGAGCACAGAATAGGATCTAGGATATGAGAGAAAAAGAGCACGTGGGCCTTGGGCTCCCTCCAGAGGAACCATGAGCTCAACTGCTAACCTGCCATCCCCCAAGCTCATCTCTTTTGGCCTTGCCCTCTATGTTACCCCACTCCTTGAGTCCCCTGCCCCTCTCTGATCAATCATTTAATTTCTGTCCATATTTCAGGCCCTTGGTGTCTTCCAATCCCTAAAGCCCCATCCCTCTGGTCTGCCCCATCCCTCCAGATCCTACCTTGGCAGGCAGTGAGAGAGCGAGTGGCATCTGCTGGTCCAAGGGGTCAAAGGCTTGAAGGGTTCCAAAGAGATCACGATACACCCCTGGGGTATGCACCTCAAAATACACTCCCCCCTGGTCTGGGGGGTCGGGAGCCCTCAGCTCAGCAGCTTTGGGCACCCGTTTCCTAGGGATAAGCCCCCACCTGGGATGAAAACTGCAAGATCCAGGGAGTCTCATACCCACTAGAAATGCATCAGCTCTGATGCCTAGGAACCTAGACATATCTTTTCACTAGGATGCCCTAAGGGGTTTATGTCACAGAGCTGAAATAAGGGTTAGGGGTGTCAGCATTTGGAAGGGCTATTAAAGGTTGGGAACTTGAAAGGAAGTGAGATGTTTCTTACCCGTGATGTAGAGGGTACTGCTCTGGTTGGAAGCCATGCAGGTCACACGCAGGTGAGGCAGGCAACGGGACACTTTCCTGAGGGCCAGCTGAACTGTGTAGGAGCGTGGCTGGTCCAGCTGGGTCTCATTCACTACCAAAGAGTAGATCTTTCCTTCCTCTGGGGAATGAGGGTAGTCATACAATTATGTGGGGGAGGGGGCATATCAATATCCAAATCAATGCTCAATGGACTCCTTAAGCCATGCAGGGTGAAACATTTACTGCCCTAGAATGGGGTTGGAGAAAAAAAGATAGACATGGGGTTGGGGTTGTGGCTCAGCGGTACAGCGCTCGCCTAGCATGGGCGAGGCCCTGGGTTTGATCCTCAACACCACATAAAAAAATAATAAATAAACATGAATACATTATATATATATAGAAAGAAAGAATAGACACAAAATAAAGGAAGAGAGGCTTCAAGTCCCTCAGGCACCAATTGCAAAAATACATCAGGAAGTAGTTCAGCATGAGAGACGGGGAGAAAACCTAAGCGTTAGATATGGCAGAATCTAATTTGTTAGGAAGAATGAAGTCTGGGGACTTAGGGCCCTGCCTGGCATTCAGAAATCCACAGGAATTCAGACTTGAGGGTGTGGTCAAGCATAAAGGATACTGGGAAGTGGAGGACAGCTTGGTGTATTAAAGTGAGGTCCCTGGCATGGAGGTTGGGGAGATTAGAATTTTAAAAATTAGGTATTCACTAGATCAGTGGTTTCTGGACTTTTTTTTTTTGGCAGCAGGGCCCTTTATTCATATAAAATAGGATGCAGAGTTCTAGACTGGGAGTGAGATAAAGGCGAAGCTGTTTGGATTGAGAACCAGAACAGGTGGCATGTGGATCCTGAGAGGCCTCATCCCTGTCCCCTGCAGCAGGTCTTGAAGAATCTGCAGGACACATTTACTAACCATTGCTTCAGGCCATACCTGTGAGGAGCAATAGAGCCCGTTGGGTCTCCTGACCAACCAGCACAATCTGTTTGAAGCTCATGGAGTGGTGGAATGTCATCTTGAAGACCCGCTGCCCGCTGGACTGCAGATAGACCTCCACGCAGTCACAGGCCCGACTGCTGGTTGTGCCTACCACTCCTGGCTGCTCCCGAGTGGCCAAGACGTAGACGTATTTACGGTAAACTGTGTCACATCTTGGGTCTGAGGCAAACTGTGGAGATAGATGAGGGATCTGTGGCCTGGGAAAGGGATGGGGCTGGAGCAAGTGAATCCTGGGGTGGGAGCAGAGGTATTTGCATCCAGGTTTGGGAAATAAAGACTTGTTTTCAGGTTCCTGGTAAGAAAGGGTCAGTGTCCTAACAAGGGCACCCTAGGACTGGGGCCTCAGGGCCCTGGAGGAGGGGGTGGGTTCTTAGCTGCCACAGTTCTGCTACTCACATCCTTGGCTCCACGACATAATACAACATAGCGGCAGGCCCGCTTCCACTGGATCTGGCCAAGGGTGGAGGAGACTAGTGCATTTTTAAGGAAGAAGAGGGTCCCCACGTAGTCGAGAATGAAGACGTGATCCTTGGTGGGCAAAAAACAGCGGTAGCCATGGGCTAGAAGGGGGGCCACACTCTTGCTGAGACATCGACGGCGGCCACCAAATGCCTGAAAATACAGGCCCTTCGTGTCTGGAGAAGGGAAGTACATAAAAGGTTAAAGAGTGTCACTGACACAATGTGGATGGGTCAGAACACAATGTGGATGGGTAAACTAGATTTCTCAGACATCTTAATATTTAGCTTTTCCTCATCCCCAGGACTGGGGAACAGGATCCTTTCCAAAGGAGACCTGGAAAGCTTAGATTATACCCCACATCTTCCCCGCCTCAGCCCAGGGTCAGACACATGCTTTTAAATAAGCACCTCTTTGGTCTGACCTTGCATCAGAATCAAGGGAGCATAAGAACAAATCCACAGAAATGAGGCAGAAAGAGAAGTGAAAAGGAATGACCAAGAAAGGCCAGTAACCTTCCCTCACCCCCAGCTGTGGATCTGTTTTCTGGATCAGTCTTCTCCCCTAATCTCCCTGTGTGTGAAAGAAGTAATTGGATAGGGGCTCTCTGGAGTGGCAGGGGTTTACAGTATGGTTCTCAAGCTAGGGGTGATTTTGTCCCTTGGAAGACATTGGTTGGTACAACTAGGGGAGTTGCAACTGGAACCTAGTGGGTAGAGGCCAGAGCTGCCCCTAACATCCCCACAGTGCACAGGAGCCCCACAATGAAGAATTACTTCACCCAAACTGTCAATGGTGACAAGGTTCAGAAACCCTGGTTTAGAAAAGGAAAACTCCAGGTTTAGGGAATAGATTTAAAGAGCTGGTGTATGGAGGGAGACTTGGCAGGGATGCTAATGGGGGCGGTGGGAGGGAAGGACACATATATTGGAGGGTGGCCCCAGAGCCTTATAGGAAATTCAATGGACTATGTTTGGATCTGATAAGTTTCTTCCAGAGAAAAGGGCTGGGAGGTTGACAGGGAGTGCAGAGGTCAGCAGGCAACTTTACAGAGCAGGAGGTTTCCCAGAATAAGAAAGGACAGAAGCAAGGAGAGAGGGAGGTGCTGGGGAAGGTGTACAGTTAAGAATGGCAGCTCTCTTCCAGGGCCGGACCCCAGAACCCTGCTCTCGAAGGCGTGGACTGAGCCTGCGGCAGATGCGTCTCCACACTCCCTCAGCATCGCACACTTCATGGAAGTAGTGGCAGGTCTGGCCTAGGGCGACTACATCTCTGACTGGGAGGAATGAGATGATATGCTCCACCTGGAGGCAGCAAGGAGGAAGTGGAGGTCACTTGGAGCCCCTAGTGGCCTGGCCCCCAGTCCTTCATTCTCAATACTTCAGCTCCTAAGACTCACCAGCTCTGGGGGAAACAACTGAACAGAAATAGGATTCCCTCTTCCCTTCTTCTCTTCACCCCCTGGCTCTGGGCCACAAGAAGGACAGCTCCGCTTCACCTGTAGAGGGAAAGGGGAAGTATAGGGGGTCCTGTGAGGGCCCCACCTCTTTTTCTCCCTGCTCTTGACCTGTCTTTCATAAATTCCTGTTGGGGCTCATCTGACTCCAGCTCTGTGTTGTCAAATCCTCCCATCTCTCTCCAGGTCCCTGGGCCAACCCTCCCTGTCTGCTTTGTTCCTTGACATAACCCATCCCCAGATCTCTTGCTGCCATCATCTCCCTGCCCTTCCCTTGCCTTGCCACCCCCTCACCCTGAGCCCCTCCTCCGGTCGGCACAGCCCGGTCAATTTTTGCAGCTTTTGTCTCCGGCTTCTCCTCACCATCCTGCCTGTCCCCTCCCTGCTCCTGCCCTCATCTCTCCGGGCCCCTTGGCCCCCCGTACTCAGCTCCCTGGCCCCTGTCCTGGCTGCCTTTCCCACACCATGTCCCCTGCCTGGGCTTGGGGGACCTCTGGGGCCCCTCTACCTCCTAGGCCCCTCCCCCATGGAGTCTGGGACAAACAAACCTCTCTGTGACCTCACTGTTCAGCCACTGTGACCTGTTTGCCTTAACCTGGACCACGGACCTGGCTCCTGGGTTCTAGATCAGCTCTAGCTACTGGAATGCTCGTGAGCTTTGCATTTTACTAGAGAAATAAAGTGTAAACTACTGGTAGATGATGCCTTGACTTTCAGGGAATAGTAGGAGATTTTCCATATTTCATATTTTCCATCAGTGTTTCCTAACACTGATGAATCCTCCACATCTCAGTAGGCTGGGGCCTCCAGGCACTTCAGTTTAAGAGTATAAACTCAGAAAAGGAAAAAAAAGAAAAAAAATGTATAAACTCAATTTTATAGGTGAGGAGGAAAGAGGACTCTGCTCTGACTACTTTGCTCACAAAGGCACATAGCAGATGAATGTGGGAACAATTTGGCACAAACTTATAATCTTAAGAAAACACATTCAAAAGCAGATTGCTTTCTGGAGGACCAGTAACATCACTACATGTACAAAGGGACAGGCTATTAAGGTGGGAAATATGGATGGATTTGCTCTGAAAGCTTAGAATCTATCTCCCAGAGCCTAGGCGCTTGGCTTCTTCTATGGAGGTGACATTTAGGAGAAATAGCAGGAGCTGAGGTTGTATCTGACCAGGTAGGGGCAGAAGATCTGCAACAACAAATCCAAGGAGTAGCTGGCTCTTCCAGGGACTCAGTCCTGTTAGACAACCAACCTGCACAGCACCAAATTATAGATCCATTCTTTGACTAGCTAACCAACAGACTGTTCACCACCCACTCCAACTTCCTTATTTATGGTAACTAGCAAATTGCTCCTTTGGGGCACCTAAGAAGAAATTTTAACAATTTAATAAACATTTAGGCCTATCAACATCTGAGATGTGACTTAGGAAAAAGCAACTTCAGTTATTGGTGGTCAGGCAACCAGCAGTCTTATGGGGCTGCAAAGCGTGGTATGACTTTCAAGGGGACAGACAAGCACTTTCTGCTGCCTTTTGCATTTGGTTCCCTTTCTTCATTTCATTCTGAGAAGTAAACAAGAGATTTCGAGCAGACACTGTCCACTCTAAACACAGAGGAAGTGAGGAAGGACCCCACGTAGAGGACTGAGACCTGGTTTTGGGTGCCAGCAGTCAGGGTCCTGCTGTTTGCTCTTGCTAACTCATCAACTTCTCTCTGCCTCAGTTTCCTCATCCGTAAAACGAAGGTCTTGTGCTACACCAAGAGGTCCTTTCTAGCCTCTAAAATCCTTAGGACGGGTGGTCACCATTCCTGCCCAGGGAAGCTTCTCTGGTGAAGCTCGCAGGCCAGGACATTCCCCTTCCGTGAGCTGGGGGTCTATAGGCTCAGGGAAGCCGCCGCCCTCTGCCCAGGGATGAGAGGAGTTAGTCCTCAGACTCCTCAGGCGGAAATAGCCCTGGGGCCTCTACAGCTGAGATCAAAGCCTGTGAAATGGCCTCGGGTTCTCATAGGCCTCTCTCACGCCCTCGACGCCAGCTAGCTTCCTAACATGTCCAACTTGTATACACTATCCAGCCCCTGCACTGCGGTCCCATCCTGCCCAGCGCGCGGCGCTCACTTTCTTTACCTCAGTCTCAAAGTTCTAGCTCACCCGCCTCCTCCTTAGCGAAGGGACCGCCTTCTCGCCCATGCTATTGGTAGGTAGAGCCGTCCCTCAGAGAAGAGGCCGGGCCAGGTTCCCTCCGGAGGCGCTAATTGGCCTTCTTGACAGTCACTCGCCTGTATCTGCTTGCGATTGGCCTTCGTTAGAAGAGGACCACGTGCCTCCGGCTTGTGGTCTCTCAGTCTCTATCTACCTTAGTAGAGCACCGGTGTCCCCGCCTCCTGGTAGGACCTGATTGGCTCCATCTCCAGTTCTGAGCATTGTGATTGGATGCGGCTGCGCGGGGTGGGCCGGCCCGGAGCGTCGGCCGTTGGCGAGCGCTCCATTCTCTCCCCCTCCCTCCCCTCTCCCGGCTCCTGCGCCGGAGGCTCCACCCCCCGGGCGGGTTCTGATTAGCGGCCTCCGACGCTTCTTCGGACCACGATTGGTTCGCGGAGTCCCTGACCCCTTTTCCTCCCCCTTGAGGCGACTACGGCGGCTCCAAGGAGGGGGAGGGGGAAGGAGGGACGGCCGGTCCCGTCAGTCAGGCAGCGGGAGCCGCCGGGAGCGGATGGCGGCGGCTGTAGCGGCCCCTCTCGCCGCCGGGGGTGAGGAGTCGGCAGCCACGATCCCCGTGCCAGGGTCTCCGGGTCTGCCCGGGAGCCGCAGCGCAGAGCGGGCCCTAGAGGAGGCCGTGGCCACCGGGACCCTTAACTTGTCTAATCGGCGCTTGAAGCACTTCCCCCGGGGCGCGGCCCGCAGCTACGACCTGTCAGACATCACCCAGGCTGGTGAGTGCGCCCGGCCCAGGGTCTAACTGCGACCCTCATTTGCATAGCCCCGCCCCTCTTGTTCCCCCTCCCCCCTTGCGAGTTTAACCCGCCCCTTCACCTGGCGGTGGGGGTGCACGCCCCTCCTGATTGGCATAAGACTGCGACCACCCCCTCCCTGCTGTAAGAACCACTGGACAATGAGCGCACTTCTAGTTTACACAGAACACCCAGAGTCTCTGGCCGAGCATTATGAGACACTTCCCCTCTTATTTGCATATTGCGCACCTGTAGAGTGGTCCCGCCCCTCACCTGGTTGGCTCATTTGCATGACCTCTTCAACCTTAGTTCCATAAAGCAGCCCCCATGGGCTTTTCTAACTACACCTTTCTCTCCCTTCTCGTTGTCTCCAACTCCTTCCCCTCTTCCACCGAGATCCGAGCAGCCCCGGGCACCCGTTTCCTATGGATCGCTTCTAACAACGGGATGTTTTTGCTTACTTTGCCGTAGTCCCGCCCCCTAAAGTCCCAGACCCTCTCTACTCTTCACCCAGCCAGCCTATGGGAGAGAAGCAAATCTGCCTCCTTTAACTCTTCTCCCTATACTCTTCCGCTCATTAACCCTGAACCCCTTATTTGAGACTCACTCTCTTTCCTGTGTCTATGAAGTCACTTTGGAGCCTGTGACCTCATAGGGATCCTAGAATTCCCTTTTCAATTTCTGCTTTTCCTCCGCGAAGGACTTGAGGCAGTTGCCAAAAGGAAATATATCTCCTAGCCGGGAGTGCTGGGCCTCTGGAGACTCCTCTTTCACGTTCCGCCCTCAGAATCCCTCTAATCATGCTGTCTGCAACCTAGTGTCTGTTGAAGGTGGCTGGTGGGGGGTTCTACTTTGACAGGTGAGTCAGGCCTCAGCTGCTCAGGAGGCAACCTATGACCTTGGGCTGGCATCTAGGCGTGGGGATCAGCAGAGAGAGGATTGCATTCCCCAGCTCCACCCTAGCCTAGGCTGGGGTGTGAGGAACCTCCTCCGCTTCTTCTTATCTTCAAGGCCAGGGCTCTGGGGCTGGATGAAAGAGTGCATTTTTCTTCAAGCAGGTGACTGACCACCTGTAAACACTCAGGCTGGCCCAAGCACACATTCCCTCTACTGTTTTGGGGAGAACCTGTTTAAACCTCTTTGCTTTTCTTGTTCACTATGCTGTGAGTTCAGGAAATGGGTGAGCCCCACAAGCCATTCCTTCCCAGGCCCCCCTCCAACCCTCAAGCTCCAGATTGACCTCAGCAGCTGTGTGACACTTGCTGTCTGTTCCCTTTCCCCTCCCCGTTGCTTGTTTTTTGACAAAGACCAAATGTTATTCTGTACTTTCATGGGGCTCTATCTCAGTGAGTGGACTCCTGGGGAAAACTACCAAGAACTCCAGGGCCCCTCCCAACTTCTGCCCCCTCTCAGCTTCCTCCCCCAGCATTCCGGCTCAGGGTGCAGCTTGTGTAGTGAAGCAGGAAAATCCCAGCTTCCTTAGAACCCCTGTGTGCCCTTCTCGGTCCTTTCAGGGCCCGGTTCTAGACCAGGTAGGTTCCATCTCATCCAGATCTCTCTCTTCTGTCCCCTTTCCCCAAATGGAGTGCTCCTAGCCTGGTGTGGAAAGGGGAAGTGACAAAAACACAGAGTTGCCCTTACCCTGCCCTCCACATCTCCTTGCTCTCTAACTCAGACAAACTGCTTCAGCAGTCTGCTGCCAAGTCATTCTGAACTCTCTCCTGCTGTTCATCTTCCCTGAATGTTTCCTATGCTTAGGTCCCTGAAACCCCATGGTCTGTTCCCTGGGCCAAATAGTCCTAAGGTGGGGGAGGAAGGGCTGTTCTAGCAAAGGAGAAGTGTCGCTCATTCTCTCATAGACCACATCCTGTGCCCCCTGGGCCCTGCCTCCTCCAGCCTGGGCTCCCTTCCGTTCCTAGCTTACCCCATCAGAACTTGGTCTCCACCCCCTTCATCCACATGCACACACACAAAATACATTTGTAGACACAGAGGAAGCAGGCAGGTGTTGAGTGCGGTTGGGAGAAACAGATGCTGTCCTCCCACCCTCTCCGGAACCGTCTTCTCTAGTGCTAGGTCTTCTGTCTGTGCACCGGGGCTGGAGCAGAGCAGGAGAGGGAGTGATTCTTGGGACATCAGGCTGTCCTCACCCTAGCAAACAGAGCCTACCAGAAACAACCTGATGGATAATTTCCACTTGATTTCCTGTCACAAGACTCATTTCCTTGGGGAATATGTCCTAGCTTCTCCACACTCCCTCTGCTTTTGCTCCCTCCCTGGTCCCCCTCACACCACCAGAGGGCCCTCAAAGAAGTTCTGTTGCCTGGGACTTCCCCAGCAGGCCTGGGCCCCTCCTCCCAGTGGAGACTGGGCTGGGCAAACAGACACTGACTTATATAGGTCTATGCAGCCAGTGTCTCCAGTCCAAAGGGCATCTCCAGTCCTGCCTCCTGGCACTGCCATGGCAAGATACTGCTTGAGATAGAGTGGGTAACAGCCCCTTCCCTCCTGTCACCTCCTCTTCCCCCTCTGTCCCCGTACTCCTTGACATGCTTGAGATAACATACAAAGGAGCCCGAACTCTTGAGGGCTGGGTCAGTCAGAGGGGAAGTAGAGGAAGGCCAGTGGCCTAGAAGAGGGTGAAAAGGAGGCCAACCCTGGGGCAGGGGAGCCTAGGGGGGAAGGACCTGAGGACACTGGCTCTCTGTTCATCTCAGCCTTCTCCCTTTGCCTCTCTGTCCTTGGGAGTATGGAACTTCATAGTCCTTTGGTTCTGGGGCTAGTGAAAAACAAACAAAAACTTGTATCCAGTGCTAGGGCCTTTCTTAATCTCTAAAACCAGGATATAGTGACCCCTGGTTCTCTGTGTGTTGAAAACAGATTGAGGTTGAAGGAGGACTCTGCTAGTAGTCCCCAGGTATTTTTCATATTCTCTCTCTGAGCTTTCCAGCCTGTCACTTTACCGTTTCTTTACTTTTTTGGTGCTGGGACTTGAACCCAAGGCCTTGTGTATGCTAGCCACATGCTTTACCATGCCTTAGCTCCCACCTTACTGTTTTCTTGGGACCATAATCCTCTCCTGTGACCTTTTGCCTTCTATCTCTCCTGGCATCTCAGAACATAAGGGACTGTAAGAGTTATAAAATCCAGCCACCCTTCCAGGAGAGCTCTTCATCTGGAGATTGGAAGATGGCATTCATGGTGTATCTCTGTTCTGCCCCAAATCTGGGCTTCTCCAGCCTGGTGACCCTAAGGTCTTTGCCTTCCCTTTGCCTTTCTGGTCATGCTTGGTGTGTACTCCAGTTTTGCAGAAGGCTTTGTTGTCTCTCCAGAAGCCCAGGTTTATGGGCTTGATTCTTTAGGTCTTCTGGGGATGGAGAGCAGTATGTCTGATCCAGAGGACATTCAAAGTACCCCTGTGCAGGACTGGCCTTTCCACAGCTCTCCCCTGACACTTGATTTCCCCAGACCTGTCCCGGAACCGGTTTCCCGAGGTGCCTGAGGCAGCATGCCAGCTGGTGTCTCTGGAGGGCCTGAGCCTCTACCACAATTGCCTGAGATGCCTGAACCCAGCCTTGGGGAATCTCACAGCCCTTACCTACCTCAACCTCAGGTAGGGAGGCAGCTGGTCTTTATTGGCTTAAAGAACCAGTGCTTAGTACCCTGAATGACCCTTTCTGTCCCTGAAAAGTGGGCAGTGCTGGGATGCTGTGACTGGGGAGTGAGCCTGCTTCTTTTCTCCCTTCACAGTCGAAACCAGCTGTCATCGCTGCCACCATACATCTGCCAGCTGCCCTTGCGAGTGCTTATTGTCAGCAACAACAAGCTGGGAGCCCTGCCTCCCGACATTGGCACCTTGGGAAGCCTGCGACAGCTTGTGAGGATGGGAAACAGGGCTAGAAGAGGGACTATAGAGCCAGGCACTAGAGATCTTTGGGGGAGAATCTGGGGAAAGCAGGAAGTATCTTTGAGGAAAGGCTTGGACTAAAGGCCAGTAGCCAGGAAAGACAAGAGGACAGTTTCTGATGATCCTAGTCTTATGACCCCTTCCCAGCTACTTTCTTGATTTCAGGATGTAAGCAGCAATGAGCTGCAATCCCTTCCTGTGGAGCTGTGTAGCCTTCGTTCCCTGCGGGATCTCAATGTTCGAAGGAATCAGCTCAGCACCCTGCCTGATGGTAAGGAAAATGAAGAATTGGATGAGGGGCATGAATGTGTGTGTGTTCGTCATCTCAGGCTGCTGCAACAAAGATACCATAGGCTGGGTGGCTTATAAACAACAGAAACTTATTTCTCAGTTTGGAAGCTAGGAGACCAAGATCAGGGTACCCGTGTGGTCAGGTTCTGGTGAGAGCCCTCTTCTTATTGCCAAGTTTTCTGGGTCTGCCAACTTTTAATTGTGGAAAGCAGGAAGGAGAACTGTCTGAGGTCTCTTTTATAAGAGCACTAATCCATTCTTGAGGGCTCTACCCTCATGACCTCCATTGCCACCCAGTGACCCACACCATTCATTTTAACATATGAATTTGGGGGA